AAAAAAAAAAAAAAAAAAAAAAAAAAAAAAAAAAAAAAACTCAACAGATGGGAAGTATTCCTGTACAAAAAATAGAAATGGAGGAAGTGCCAGACCCTTGGAGTGCTGGGTCACTCCTCCGCATAGCACTCAGGAGCACCTGAAGCACTTTGGGCCACTTATCTCTATCAAATGTCTCCAATGGTCACTGAACATAGTGTGCAACTAGGAACAAAACAGTTAAAAAAAAAAAAAGACAGTGAAAACAAGCAGAAAAATAAACAGAAAATAGCATAGAAAAGAGGAAGAACTAAAATGTGAATGCCTCTGGGAGGAAGGAGGACTTGAAGGCAGGCAGCCCAGGTCTCTGGGTCTGCAGGCAGCAGCTGCCCATGCAAATTGCACAGAGGGTGCTCTCAGTTTTTAGTTCTGAACATATACTGGTTGTCAGTTCACTGCAAACCTGTTCTACAGCTGTGAACAACTTTGTCTGTATATACAGGGAGTACCTAAAAGGGTGAAAATGAAGTAACTTCTGCCTGACTTCAGGAGGAACATATACTGCAGCGTTGGCAGTGAAAACAAACAGTTAAAGCAGAAGTTTGTGCCGGGGTCCTGGAAACTGTCATCATCTAAGATGTCATCATCTAACACAAGAGGATATACAGCTGTCACCTGTGCTGTAGGGTTCAGTCCATGTGAAGATGAAAATGTCATGTCCACAGGAATCCATCCTACAAGAAAAACACCACTTCCAAAATCCAGAAAAAGGTGAGCAAAAGTGGCTGTTTTTGCTCGAGAAGATCTTAGTGACAGAGGCAGTTACGACATTTAAAGCCACAGCCCACTGATGCCAGAGCAGCAGCTTTGCAGTTCCCAAGAGACTGCTGCACAGATTAGACATCAGCCACAAAGCTATCCAGAAGTGGAAGGACTTGAGTTTAATGGGATGACAATTCTTTTATTCTAATCTTCTACACTTGGATTTGCACCTGAGCAAAAAAAGAGAATGCTCTGTCAGGAGCCAGTTGGAATAGGTAACTGGGTTTTGGGGATGCTCCTGGTCTGAATGCAGGGCTTTGAAAGATCGAATTCAAGAAAACAACCCTCAGTTTCCACTCAGCAAGAGCACAGGGTAAGGATACAGAGAGTGAGCTGAACATGCCAAAAAGTAAGGAGATCTCCAAGTGTGCCCTTGGAAGCAGTGCTGCCCAAAGACAGGTATGGAGTAAGGACATGTAAATTGAAGACTAATGGGGACACGGGCCCTTCAGCATTTACCACCTTATGCTCCAAACTGCACGTGATAGAATTCCAGGTGGTGTACAAATGTGAAGAGGATTTTCCTGGACCTTTTCCTGCAGTGAATTCCCCAAGCAGGTTTTTAAACCCAGATTCATTGAAATGCAAACCGCACTGTTTACAATCACGTATTGAGAAAGCACAAAGGTTCTGGGGCTGCAACCCAGAAAGGGACAGCAAAGAATGGAGATCTACTGGAGGGTCTACATTATGTAGAAGGCAGTAAGCATACAATCAAGTGTTTCTTCAAGTACCTGTAAGATTTCAATTATGATTAGCATTGTAAATATTTGCCCAATTAGTTCTCCATCTTTTTAGCTGGCTTTTTTTTTTTTTTTTAAAAAAAAAAAAAAGAAGTTTCCTGTACTAATTAAGCTCAAAATATTGGCTGCATGGCTGGTTTTCAACTCCTTCCTTCCTTTCTTCCATGCTGCCTTTCTAAAGAGACCTTCACCAAGCAGCCTCACAGGATCTTCACTTTATAAGACTGGTAATTAGCTGAAGCTTTGCTGAGCATGTGGAAATCTTCTGAGTAAAGTCATTATAATAGAGTTTAATGTTTCAGCCTATTGCTTTCATTTGCAAGATTATTGGCTTGATAAAAGAAACAGATTTTGACAATGCAATGGCTGTAGATACTTGAGAAATTGTGTCTGAACTCTTTTTTTTTTTTTTTTTTTTTTTTTTTTTAGTTAAGCATATAGTACAGTCCCTTATTTAAGGAGCACTGTGGCATTTCAGATGGGAAGTCCAGGCAGATGGTGAAAAGCAGGAATCGCTCAGTTTACACAATAGAGCACACTATCACCATTTGCATCATTACCAATTTTTGTGAGTTCAAATTTGTCTTGGTTTATAGAGAGGAAAAAAAGAAATACTCTTCTCTGCTCTTCCTGGTGGTGTTTGAGAGAAGCTGTGGTGCCCCATCCCTGGAGGCACTCAAGACCAGGCTGCACAGAGCCCTGGTCAGGCTGGCTATCACAGTGGGTGGCAGCCTTGCCCACAGCACAGAATGGGGCTGGGTGGGCTTTGAGGTCCCTTCCAACCCCAACCATTCTGTGATTCTATTATTGTATGAGACGATAGTTATAAATTTAAAGAAGAAATTCAGTGTTATTAATGAAAGCACAAATTTCACAGTGTATTCAGCTTCCTCCTATGGGAAGTGCAGTTTCAGAAAGGTAATCCATTCCAGGCAAGTCAGGCATCTGCCAGTGCAGCTGTCTGCATAAGCAATTTAAAGCAGAATACTTTGATAAAGTAGGTAATAAGCTGCTGCTGGAATAGGCATGGTAACAAAGAAAAAAAGTGAGTATGTTTGCAATAAGAGCCAGTTGATGGGAAAGGCAAACAAGTGGTGAATGAGTTAGAACCCCTGGCAGGGGCATACCAGGTGTTAATGTGCTACAGGGACTGAAGTGTCTTTTAAACCAAAAAAGGTGTGAAAGTCGGGCCAGGATAGGGATGGCTGTCTGCTTAACTTCCACCATAACCATCTGATGATGTGAGAAGATGAAACATCAATTTGGATTCAGTACTGAAATGTGAATTAAAAATTAATATGTTTTAATTTCCGTTAACGATATCTGAGGGTATAAATAAGAGTCTGTACACAAGACTTACTCACTTATCTTGATAAGAGTGTAAATGGTGGGAGCCAAAGACAATTTATCAGCACATTTTCTAAAGCCTGTGAATTTCAGATAGGAATTTATTCCAGACATGAAAATCTTAGAGTCCTTATAGCTAAATGAAATAGCTGCGTCCATCAGTAGATTAGTCAAATATTTTTCTGCAAATAATTTTATGACAATTGTAGCTTTTTTCTGCTAGCAAATTATTTACCAACAGGCTATGAATTTTGAATTTGTTCCAAAACCAATATCAACACATTTCTTGCATATAATTTCTGTCAGCTTGCCACGATGAGTGTTCACTGTTTATTTGTGCCATATGAATATTCATTCAAACTTGCAGTGATGTTTTTCTCTACTGATTCAGCAACAATCATATACACAACTAATTCAAACAGCTGTAATTTTTAAATCCTTGATCTGAAGCCCACCAGGAGCACTACAGCACTGTGAATCAGCTGTCTTTTTATCCAGACATTCTCAGAAGTGTTTGTGTTAGTACAATTGATGTTTTGTTCTTGATGAAGCCCCATGAAACCATCATCCTCAACTTTTCTCCTCAGTGCTACAGCACTAAATTCAGACACAGCTTTGTGTAACTGCTGAAGTTTGAGCAATTGATGTCAGTTTAGCATAGACTGGATCTATTACATTCCATTTATATGCAGAACAGATGAAATACAGTATCATAAGGATAATGGGTTGATTATGTGCTGATATTTTAATTGCCCAATTTCCTGATTAGAAAACGTTAATGCATTTCCAAATCAAAACAGATATCAAACTTTTCCATTTTCTGTTGCCTCCTATCCTTACTACATTTGTGTACTTCATTTTGTATTTTAAAGCAAAGAAAGAAAGAAGTACACTTGTGTAATACTTTCTGATACTATGTCTTTTTTTAATATCACCCAAGCTCACAGAGAAGTCATAAGGCAATGGTGAAGCTTTCCTTGTGATTTTAAGTTGATAATCACATGCATGTAGTCTCACAATAGCCTTTTCAAGAATACTTTCTATCATTACAAACTGTTGATAAATTGATCCACAGATATTGTAAAAGGGTTGTGAGCTTCAAGCATCTCTTTGATACAATTTTCAGTGTCTTGTGAGTGTCTCTGCAGTGATTCATTTCAAAGTTACTTTCCAGTTCCCAGGATTATTTGAGTGGAATAAAACCTGGGAACAGGATGAACACAAAGGAATGGATGGGGCTTTGAGCAACCTGGTCTAAAGGGAGGTGTCCCTGCCTATAGCAGGGCATTGGAGCTAGATGATCGTAAAAGGTCCCTTCCAACCCAAACCACTCTGTGAATCTATGACTGGTAAAACTTATCTAGGATTATATTCAGCATTGGTACGCAACTGGAATGAAGAGTTTCTCTTTTCAAAATTTGTGTGATAAGGTATATAAAAAACACATTTTTAAAGCAAAGCAAATACATTGCAATTATTGTTTATGTACCTTTAGTCCACCTTATTGGCCCTTTGTTTAAGGGAAAAATCATGAGTCCCAGTCAGGTTCATTGCTATACTCTGCAGATAAAAGGAAACAGTAAGCATGGCTAACAGTAAGCATATCTGAGTAAAACCTGCCTGAACCTACAGCCTCCTACTTCCCTACTGACAAGAATAAGGAGCAAGCTCAATAACAGGAACACAACTGTCCTTCCTGAGCTTGTGTGCTGAGCAGCTCCTGCCATTGAAGTACTCATTCCATCTGTTGGAAGCGTTCCGAGAAGATTCAGTAGCATAGCATACCTCAGTTCTGTCATGTGATTGTACCAACAGATGCAGCAAGCTAACAACCAGCTCACACGGTCCTTTCAATTAACAACTGCACTGATTGTTTCTTGGCAGCTTTTTTTTTTTTTTTCTTCTATAAATAGTAATTACACAGTAGTTAATCTTCAAAGTAGATTTTTCTAACCTCTTGGAACACCTATTTCTGTGCAGGTGATGTGAGACCTCTACGAAGTGCTAGAAAAAAGCAAAACAAGCTACAGAATAAAAGACAGGCTTCTGTCTTCTTGCAATTATACCAGAATGTCCAGAACTTCTTGAACTTCATAACTGATAATTTCGTAGGGCTTCATCAAAACCCTGTGAACAGCTTTAAGCTCAGGCTCAGACCTACAACTGATAATTTCTCTGATCTGAATGTGATATCTTGCAAAAAAACCAGGATTTTAAAATTATGGAGTATAAACGAGCAAGATATAATTAGGCTGCCTACATTGCCATGCAAAGATATTTCCCAGGGTCAGGCTTCCCAACTCTACATATGGCTCCCAACAGACATTGCTCAAAAACTCACTGTGGACATCCCCTGCTGCTTCTGTACAAGGTTCTCATTTTGGAAAGGAAACAGGATGTAGTAGTGTCTTCCTGCTATGAAGCAGGAGAGGAGTATACCACAGGGTTGGTGGGTTAGTCCACGTGGTGTGACAGTCATTTTTCATTTGGGGAATCAATCCTTGCAAGCTCTGTGGTGCAAACCTCTGTCTGTGGCATTATTGTGACTCTGTAGCTAACACACATAGATATTCCAACTGGATTAGGTCATTAACTATATCAGAATCAATATGAACCATCTGCTTAAATAAATACCAGATATGCACACAAACTATGAACATACATTTTCATTAACACGTAATATATATTATTATTTAATAGTGCTCAAATGCTTTAAAAAGGACAGCACAGTTTTATTTTCATTTTGCCTCTGAAATTCAGCTAAAACATTGTGCCTTTCAATGTTTTGGTTTTAAATAGCCAAAGCATTTGAAAACTACTACACTGCAATGTTAAGAGTTATTTTACCTTTTAATTAATAAAATGAAATGAATAATTTTGCTGATTATTATTATGCTGTAAATAGATATCAAGATATATGATTTAAAAAAAGGCAAATAAGATTTGATAGAGCAGATCCTGTTCCCAGAGGGACAGAAACCAGAACCTAGAAAAGGAAACAAAGCTATACTGCTTCATGTTGCTCATATAATCAAGTTTAGGACTGACTTCAAGAGATCAGTTCAAAAGGTAAAGCTCTAATAATGGAAAATAAAGTCAGCATTCCAGATTTTTTAATTTATATTCTAACCAAAATCACTAGGCTCAAGTCTTTAATCTCTTATGAAACTTAGGAGAATGAGGAAGGAGAAGGTGTTGCCACAGTCAGGAGTAAAGTACAGTTAACCTTTCCACCTTCAAACTGGGCCACTAGGGTGAATCATTTTCTCTCCTGCAAGTTCCTAAACAGCTTCAATTCACACGGCTGCCAAGGCTTTCAACTTCTTCCAAACAAAAGCAACAACCATACATGCCCTTGTTTCCTGGATCTGTAACTTCTCCACAAGTGTTTCCATAATAGGAGGCTCTTTTGACCTGCCGAGGCTATCCCTCTTAATAATAAGACCACTGTTCAGACCTCCACAAACCACGTCACCTGTAGAGCAGCCTCAGTACAACACCTCTCCTCACTGATCAAAACAAGAAGTGAAGGCTCTGTCAGGTTGGCTTCTCCCGGCAATTTAAAACCAGTGACAGTTGCTAGACCCAGAAGGAAGACATTTCCCTTAAAAAATGAAGTCTTAGTAGTACATGTAAGCTTCCTTCCAAGAGAAAGGAAAAAAAACGTGATAACGGGCATGATCTACAATGTAGTGCTTGCATATTATAATTGTATATTTCATGGGAAAATACACCCTTTACCATACAAATAATTTTTTGACTGAGTTACTGATCTCTGACAGAGAGCTCTGCCTAGAGCTAAGTAAATAGTTATTTCTTCAACATACAGAAAACAGGAATCTCCCAAGCTGGTTAATGCTCAAATAATGATTAGTTTGAGACAAAGTTTTTTTCCTGAGCTTAATACTGAAAAATCCCAGTCTCAGGCCAAGTTCAAGATCTCAGACAAGAACTACCCACACCAAGAGGATGTTACCTGTTGCTTCTATAATACACTTTGTATGTCAGAAAAAGTACCGCTTGGTTAGCCTGAAAGCCATAAGAATCAAAGGAGAAAGTTGGTTTACTGAACTGTGTCTAACATTATAATTAAGATAACATACAAGCAACAGAGGAAAACACCACCATGTTAAAATACACTCAACTAAGTTGAGTCCGGACCAGGTTTCCACAGTTCTTTCATTTTCTACTTATGTGCCTTACCAAGTAGGACAACATTACTGTAACACAATGGAAAGCACAGCAATAACAGCAGAGTAGAGGAAGGTCCCAGGCTGCAGCAAGTGAGGACTTGCTCAAATACAACAGTCACAAGCACAGAAAGAAGCTGCTTACCTTCAGAAAATCTCAAACACACAAGGATCACCAACAAGACACCCTTGCTTCCACTGCCAACCCTTAAATGATGTCTGGGGAGGGGTTAATCCTGGCTCCACTCTTTTCAGTCACTCAGGCACATTGTATGCAGCTGAGCTCCTCTGGGTTGGCCCTGCCTTCCCACCAGGGGCTCAATCGCTGGTTCAAGCCCTGACTTAGCATTTCCACTACAGTTATGAAATGGGAATGTCATGCAAAAATCTTTGAGGCTAAATATGGTGTCTATCATTTGGGTTCTTGGGAGTGAATGCAATCACCTTTGGAGCAAATAAATAAATAAATACATACATACATATACGTACATACATACATAAATACTGTTTTGACAGGAATCTCCATTGATTTATCTGGAAATGATGGAGGAAAGGAAACTGGTACATGCTCACCCTCAGAGGACAGTCATATTTTGCAACGTAAATACTGAGTCAGAAGTTAAGGCTCTGATCCTGGAAATGGTTTGCAGCCCCTGGTACCTTCATGCCTATGATGGATCCCACAGAGCTGTGGGTCTCTTCATGTAAGCTGTAGTACTTACATGCAGAAATGCCTTCAGGATCAGGCCCTGATGATCAGTGGTAGTCTCAGGAAAAGTATCCATAATTCTAGTTTCTCAGATGTAGACAAGCTTTTTTTGTTCTTCTTTTTAAGAATGCATCTTATTTCATTTCCTCCTCACTGACCCTGAAAGCTGTTTCATTTTCATATTATGTCAGATCTGCATATCTTCTTGGAAAAACCTAAGTGTTTTCAAACTGGGAGGGCTCAGAGACTCTGTTTGCTGGTTAAAACTGGAAAATGTCAACCTTGATTGTAGTCATTTAAAAATTAAGTTCTTATACACTTCTGTTGTTGTTGTTGTTGTTAAAATATTCTAGTATGCCTCCAAAATCTCCTAAAAGTGAAATTAACACCTGGTGCTGGAACTCCATGCCAACTTTTATCCTCACAGCAATGCATATTTTAGCCTGAATTTCACCTCAAAAGGAAATGGCAGAGGGGACAGCAGTGATTCAAGACCTGTCAGGTTATGCTTACCTGTCAAGTTTCTTTCTATCATCTGCCTACTAATTAAGGTAACCTTGTCACAGAATTCAATTAACACTCAAGTGATATGACAGAGCGTTAGATGTCTGGTTAGAGGTTAGTCCATTTCTCACTTCTTGGCTGCAAGTGACTGCTGCATACACGCTTTCTTCCGCCCCACTGAAATTATTTTCTATTGCAACCCTGAGACAATTCAAACTTGATTAATCCTTCCTCTAGTCTTTGGAGAGCCTTTTTTTTCTGCTTTCTTCTTGAATTTTATGCTCAGTAGCCAGACAGAACAAGAATTGCACAGTAGGAGCTGCTCAAGTAGCAAAAACACAGGAAAGTGAGTCCTGTGGATATGGTATCTAGTTTCTTCACCTTTAACAGATATACTGTGCATCCATCAGCAGTTTGGTTGAAGACATATTCCATGAAAAAAAGGTGATTTTTAGTGAATTTTGTCAAAAAGAATCCACTTTTGCAAGTGAGATCTTCTGAAAAAAATCTGATCCTGAACATTTGAAATTTTGAAGCACTGAGCATTTTACAATTTTTTTTTTTTTTTTTAATGATTAGTAAGCTTACTTCCATGCTTTGCTGTAACTTGATTTTTCATTTATATAGCAGCATGTTTCTTCTTAGAGATGTTTGGAGCAAAGGAAGCATTGCTATCTAGAATGTTCAGAAGGTAAGTGACTGATGGTTTGGATGGCTTCACAGAAGATAAAGCCTCTCATCTGAGCACGTGTAATTCCAAAGGGAATTAATAAGGTTCGGTGTGTAATTCTACTTCTAAGCCACTTCAGAAAAACCAGACAAATCCACTGAATGGCTGAGAATATATCCTAGTGCGCACATGTAATGTCCATTTTCCAGCTGATTTTAACAGCATCTGAGTTGTGTTCAACACAATTAAGGCAAATGGGATATCCTGGGAATTACAGTAAGACTTTTGGAAACAGTGCAAAAAGAACTTGGTACTACTACTAGAGATAAACTGTATGATGAAGTTGTCTTGTTTGTGAAAAACTTTAGTAAAATAATCTGTTAGGTTGGAAAGACAGTACAATTGCTTGAACAGTGAGAATATGACAAGCAAAAAAAGAAGCCAAAGAAATAGTGTCAGCTAGAATTGGAGTTAGCTGTGAGTTTTATAGCTCTCCAGGGAGAGGAGGACTCAAGCAATACAAAAAAATCACCTGCAACCTCATCCAGACAAGAGAACAAGTAATATGGGATATAAACACACTTGCTTACTTTAGAAGTAAAGGTATATTGGAAATGAATGCTGAATTAATTAGCAGTGCTTGGAGCAATTATTTTGCAAGAGTATCATGTGAAGAGAATGCAAAGGAGGAGTTAAATCATGCAAATCCAAATGGGATAAGATTGGTCATATTTACAAGGAGCTAATCATAAAGGCAGATAGAGAACTGAAAGTGAGGGAAATATCTTGAGGAAGTGTGGATACACTTGGTGAAGTGATTTGTTATGGAAGGCATGTTTGACTGCTTTTGTAAGTCACAGAAAGTAGTAAACAAGTGTTATAAAAGCTTTGCAGAGCATATATTTAAATGTGGAGAAGTATTGAGCTCAGCACAAATTATACAAGTGAAATGGTGCTGCAGAATATGAAGACTTGCGACATTTCTGAAAGCATCTGGAGAGACTGAAATGTAGAAGTGTTAAACAGTTTCATAGTAGGAGAGAATGGAGTTAACAGAAAGCTTGCTGTGTGTATTTTCTCTGAAATTTAGAGAAAAGTGGCAGTTACTGTTTTTTGTGGAAGTAGAAAAGGCCAATGTACATGTAATGAGAATGACCAAGCTGTTTTGGAGGACCCTGTATATGCTGCCTCTGCCTAAAAAAAGGTGCTCAAAAGTGAGTAAATATCAAGGAGACTACCACAGAACATGCAAAATCTTGTGATGCTGTCTTAGCTAAACTTTACCAATGGCAGTGCTTTCTTACA